ACACAAAACTAAACAATTTTTTCAGGTCTCAGAGATGTGGTTTTACAGAAAAATCCTTATAATTCTTTGGTCAGCCAAAAAAGAGCAACCAAGATGTTCCGAAGGAGGAGAGGACCACAAGACTAGTTATCACAAACATCAGAAAGAGACAATTTATCCTTTGTTTGGTCATGTTATGAGAAACAGGAATACGTTGTGACCACTGGAAAGATCAGTGGAAAAACAGACAGGGGAAGACAGCACAAGCCTTCTGTCATAGCATGAAGGGGTTTCAGCAAAGGAATTGTAACATGCTGTTGCAGATTGCCGATTGTGGAGACGCACAATCACTGATGCGAGTCAGCTGGATACTTGATAATGATGAAAAAAATGCTAGGTAAAAAGCTCATTTTGACTCCTTACGGAACACTGTGTAAATGTTGCTAGTTGCACATTGTTATATACTGATTGGCACTTGGTGGATGACGTGATCCAGATCCAGCTGGGAGTTTTTACTTCTCAGAACATTTCCTGGTATCAATTTTGAGCCGAGCATCCATTTTAGGCCAAGCATCCATTTTAGGCTGAGACAACTTGAGCTCAGGTCAATTGAAGGTTGCAGGTTCAAATCCAAATGGAGCCAGACTTTTTTTTTAAATGACCTTGGCTGTCAGGTCAGACCCAGCTCTCAATAGGTACCAGGTAAAGCCCTGGGAAGTAAACGCAGCTGGGGGGGGGGGGGACCTATGGGGGGGGGGGTAAATCCCATCTTGCTCACCTGCGGATTTGAAGGTTGCAGGTTCAAATCCAAATGGAGCCAGACTTTTTTTTTAAATGACCTTGGCTGTCAGGTCAGACCCAGCTCTCAATAGGTACCAGGTAAAGCCCTGGGAAGTAAACGCAGCTGGGGTGATGGTGACCACATCACCTATGGAGTGTTGAATGGTCTATAAAATATAAGTCTAACACTGTGCCCAATATGTTTGATGGCATGGAGAATCCTTCACTTTTACCTTACTAGGGATTCAAACACTTGATCTCTGTCAAAACATCTCTTTAAAAAAATATAACTTGTGTATATAACACATCAATGAGTAATTTACTGTGTGGTAATAATTCATCAACTCATAATTTCGAAATAAAATTGTGATTTGTAATGAAATACTTCCCACTTCAAAATTCGTCGTTTTCACATTAATAAGTAATTCAGAAACTATACAAATTAAATCAAATATTAATTCACAAACTTTTCTCACATAAAACAAGAAAAGATATAACAAGCACTGTATCACAGTCTGGTAAGACTTGCATCAAAAAAAGAAAGGATATGACAAACTGTGTTAATGGTAAACAACAAATTGGCATTATCAGTGAATAATAAACTGATGTTAACAGTAAATGAGACAACTTAGTGTTAACAGTAAATGACCAACTGACAAAATCAGTGAATGACAACAAAATTCACATTCTTCTCAGAGACAACAATGAAGAAGAAGAATCCTGTTACTACAGCTGGTCATCCTTATAATTCTCCAGACCCTTTCAATTATCTTTCTTTTCTATCTGCGGTTGCTAGTAAATAATGAAGAAAATAGTTCATTAACACGTATCTTGCAGTGTATCTGCATGCTCCTGTCCCACGGTGTATCTTTCTGAATTTTTAGATAGTATTTTCCAACTGATTGTCACCAGTCTCCCTTCATTTGTCAAGGACACCAACCATGCCCTCAACATTTTCGAATCCATCAGACTACTTCCCAGTAAAACCTATCATCTTTTCCTGATAGACGTATGCTCCCTCTATACGTCTATCCCTCACTCTGATGGTCTTAGAGCACTCCAGTTCTTTTTGGACAGAAGGTCCAACCCGATCATCCCTACTTCAGTTCTTGTACGCCTTGCCGAACTGGTACTGACCCTCAACTCTTTTGAGTTTAATGGTGAGTATTTTGACCAGATCAGTGGGGTTGCGATGGGCACCAAGATGGGTCCTAGTTACGCGTGCCTCTTTATGGGCCACTTGGAATACGAGGTCAGTTTATCATACCCGGGCAAGTTTCCGGAGGTGTATAGGAGATACATAGATGATGGCGTTGGTATCACCGAAATGTCCATGGTTGAGCTTGACCAATTTATTACTTACATCAACAATTTCAATCCGGCTATCAAATTCACCTCACTGATCTCCACCACTTCAGTTAACTTTCTTGACATCACGATTAGCATTGATTTCCCGTGTCTGAAAACCACAGCCTACTACAAACCCACGGATTCTCACAGTTATCTCCTCTATACGTCTTCTCACCCACTACCGTGTAAAAATTCTATTCCATATTCACAGCTCCTTCGATTGTGCAGGTTGTGCTCTGACGATTCTGACTTCTTTGATAAATCAGTTGAACTTCTTGAATTCTTCCGTGCCCGTTTCTATCCGGAACACATTCTACAAGGGGCTCTAAACAAAGTTTTAGCAATCACCAGGAGAGATGCTTTTCCTACCAAACGTAACTCCACCAATGATGGACCTAAATTGATCTTGACTTTTCACCCTAACAATGTGGTTGCTTCCAAAGTATTCTTTCGTCATTTGGATATCCTCCGCTCTGATCCGGACACCAAGATTATCTTTAGTGAGAAACCTAAATTAGTTTACAGATGAGATCGCAACCTTAAAGACATACTTGTCCGAAGCCGACTCCCACCGATCCATACAGCACTTCCTCTTGGGACTACTCAGTGCTCACGCAGCACCTGCAAAACATGTCCTTTCGTTGTCCAGACTTCTTCGGTCAGTTTCCCTAATGGTTCTTTTCAAATTAGGGAACCTTTTACTTGCGAATCCCGCAACGTTATTTATGCAATTATCTGCAAACGATGGCATACATTGGGGAGACTGGCAGGAAGCTAGCTGATCGTTTCCGGGAACACCTCTCTGATATCGACAAGAAGACACTCAAACCAATCCCTCTTCATTTTAATAGCCCTGACCACAGCGGTAAAGATGACATATCTGTCACAGCATTAAAATCTTGCTCTGGCGATCATACTACCCGCCTCGCTTTGGAAAATCGCCTTATCCACAGCCTTGGCGTTCTTAGTCCAAAAGGTATCAATATCCAACATACCTTCATCTAAATAGTTCTAATCTTATCACATTTTAAATGTTAATTATTTTATTTTATTTCATATTATTACCATATTCTATTTCTTATCAATATCATTTATGTATCATTAACACTTTCATTTCTTTTATTCCCAGTATTGTGACTATATTTTTTAGCCATCGTTTATTTTATTTTATTTCATTTATTCCGCATCACATTTTTTAAACGTCGCTCACGTCACCCCTTAGAGATCTACATACTCTCCATTCCTCGTTTGTGTAGTCCACTTGTGTTTGAAAAAGGCTGCCTGGCCGAAACGTTACGTTGTGTTGTTTTGTGCACGTTTTCCTCTTTCCCATTTTGTTGAGCTTTTTAGTCAAATTTCTCTGGAATTTATCTTGCAGTGAAGCAATAACAAAAATACAAATAAAAACACTCCCTTAAAACAAATGAAGATTGAAAGAACACTATTTCATCAGTTTAGACTGATGTAACAAGAATGAACATGCAATATGGCACAAGCTAGGAAGTTAGCTCAACCAGTCAAGCTCGTCATCATCATCATCATCATCGTCAAACAAAGACCTTGGAGGTGGCTGAAAAAAATTAATAAAATAAAAGGAAATGTCATCTACTTGAGCAAGTTTGACACAATAAAGGATTTTTCTGTATCTAAAGGTAGCCAAAGACAAGAAACTCAATCATCGGTCTTCTTCTCCTTATGCTCATCCTCACCCTTCTTCTTCTTCTTCTTCTTATTTTTCTTTCTTCTTTCTTTTCTTTCTTTCTTTATTTTCTTTCTTTCTTTTCTTTCTTTCTATCTTTCTTTCTTTCTTTTTTTTTTTCTTATTCTTCTTTTTCTTCTTCTTCTAATCTCCTAATGAGATAGGACCTCCAACAAACAAACAAAAAACTCCCATGTCAAGCCGTTTGTAAATTTGCTTTTGACTGCTACGATCTTCCTTCTAACACTTTCTACTGGATATGGTAGCCAGATTTTTAACATGTGTGAGTCATCTCTTTTAACATGTATAGTAGGTTTTGGTATTACTATTCTTTGTGTCTCTCATAGGCCTTGGTGATTCACATGCAATCATAATACTCACAATTCCCTGAGGGTTACAGACACGTAGATGGAGATTTCCTCATGGAATGGCTTTTTCTCAGCAGTGCAAGTCACCCTCAACCTAACAGCGAATTTTTATTAATTATTCTGCTATAAATGGTCCAATGCTGATTAACTCCATATAAAGGTTTATCAGCCAGCTGTTAGAGCAAACTACATGAGAACAGAGGGCTACAAGGCAAGAGGTTGACTAAGAAAGAGATGGGTGGAGGGAGTAAAAGAGACACTACAGAAACACAGTATGACATTAATACAAGCTAGGCAACTAGCAAAAGACAGGAAACTACTCTCTGAGATATTTTGTGGAGCCTTAGGACAAAAGAAGAAGAGGACACACATTTTTTTTTTTTCAGAAATAAAATAATACTAACTGCTAAATTATTTTCATATCCTCAAAAGAGGTAGCATTACTGCATACAGTATCACACTGCAGCTTGCTCCCCCCCCCCCTTTCCCCCAACAAACAATTGTATTATACTTGCTACATGCTTGAATACTGCTTGCATCCTTGTTTGTCATTACAAAAACTTATGATTTCCTATTAATATTGAAGGTTCCTTTTCTTCTTCACTTCCTTCAGTTACTTTATCGAAGTGTTTGGAGGAGATGTAAGTATTTTGCGTGTGCTCTTTCTAATGAGTTAGATAAGTTGATCTTCATTTCCTTAAGGCTGTTTTGGTTCTTGAGTCTATTTTCTATCTTTCTCTTCCCTGTCTTTTGCAATCTTTTTTTTTTTTTTAAGACCAATAATATTTGGCTGGACATTAAGAGGAAGAAATCTGTATACTCACCTCATCAGTCCCAGGGGTAGACTTTCTGTCAGTCCTGCCTTGTGGTGAATTGGCTTCATATTTTGTTACTGGCTTTGTATTATCATCACCATCAAAGAATGGTTTAGGGTTGAAATCTTCCCCAAAGGTATCAAACACTGTGTTGTCACTGCCAAACAGCAGGCTGGAAGGAACATATATCATCTATACACACTCTCTTTCTTTGTTGCTTCACTAGAACAATCAGACCTGTTGATCTTATTTAATGAAAATGGGTAGGTGGCCTCATAGCTGATAATGCTATGAGATTCTCAAGTGTTTGTATTTACATTGTTGGCACTGTGTCAAAGTATACTCCTTCTTTGATAACGTTTTAGTTAGTTAATTAGTCTTTCCTCTTGCGAATAGGGTGGCGCATTGGGCAGAGGTCATAGCTCTTCATGTCTGGGGGTTCATTGCCACCTGTTTTAGGTCTTGGATGTTGATTAGGCCCATGGTTGAGCCTTCCCTGGTGATGTTTCTACACATGGTCTTTCCCATTTTCTTTTCCCTTCCAGTGTCCATATGAGGGCTTGATGGTGAAGTCTTGTCTTATTTATTCTGAGTGCATAGCCAGTGTAGTTCCAGCTGTGCTTTCTTACAAGACTGGATAAGCTATCTTGCTTGTGATAACGTTTGCCATGATGAAAACTGTGTTTTCTTCCTCCGTTCTTTATCTGAGATCTTGTCTGGCCAGAGTATTTTCAGATTTTCCTTAGACATTTATTTTGAAAAGTGTATAGTTTATCTGTAATTGCCTGCTTTCATTTTCAAACATTCATTTTTGCCTAACAGCATTCCTTAACTGTTGCTCGGGTATAACTTGAGTTTTGTCTTTAAATTAAATTTTCAAAACGTATTTATTTTGTTAAGCTGGTAAATGCTTGGTTGTTTTATTTTTCGCAAAGGTTACATCCTTTTCAGAATTCTTATCAGTGTCAGCAAATCACTATACAAAAGACTAGTTCTCTCTTCTTCTTCTTTTTCTTGAGCCTTTGATCTTCCAATAAAAACAAGGTCCTTAACTCAACCCTTTAAGAATCTTCAAAAATGACCCACTTGAAAATTTCATTAAAAATAAATGCATTGTTATAATTATCTGAAACACTACTCTAAGAAACTACAGGAAGAGAAAAAACTTATGGAGGTGTCCAAAGTGTTGTGATGTTGATTCTTAATTCAACACTCAACATTCAACATTCAAGGAAGAGAAAAAGAAGTAAAGTAAAAGACCCTTTTGCACACCTTAAACAGTATTGGGCATAAAGGGCTAGATCAATATTCTATAGACCAACCGGTGAGTGATGTGGTCAATAGCATGCCCGCCGCCTTTACTTCACAGGAATTTATCAGGTACCAATTTAAGGTGCATAGGTGATTTTTGTCGGCTCTGTGGCTAAGTTGATGTGAACGCTTTGTAATGCCGGGGTGCCAGGTTCGATCCCAGCTGCAGGCCATGCACCTTGTGTTGGTTTCGACAGTGGTATAAAAAAACTGACCATCCAGAAAGCAATGGCAAACTACTGGATGTAAATTTGCTTAGAGAAACCACACAACAGCCAGGGGCTGCTGGGGTTGGTTCTGCAACATCCTGTAAAGGATATGCAACTAACTTTTAGAGGGGATTTTTACATAAAGGAGGGTAGTAACCAAATACAAAAAAAAAAAAAAAAATTAACTGCATTCTCTCTCTCTGACAATGAAAATAAGGGTTCTGCTGACATAGCCATGTGGAGCTATTAACTTCATTATTTGTTTACAATAAGGTGACAAAACAACAGCATTTTTTTCACCCCCAATTAAAAATCTCCCAAGTCTACAAATTATGCACTTACAACACTACTTAAGCTATGTTATATAAGTGTACTGGCCATTGTCCAAAGTTGTTAGTCACGTCATCAAAAACCCTTACAATGAATTTAAAAAAAAAAAAACTGGCTTTCATGGGGCAACATGGTAAATAAACTACCTCCAAGTCATCCCATTCTTCACCACTGTCTTCAGCTCATCCCATGTCCTCATCTGCTTTTATTACCCTCAGTCTCTAATTCTCTTCTCTAATTTTCGGGGTTTCCTTTATTTATTTAGCCCTGTGGGGTTTCTGTGCAAGGACATTCTAGTTATTTTTCTTCTTCTGTATTCACCCTTAAAAGGGTTCTTGGCATACTGTTTTACTATTGGCATTGGTGTTTTCGAAAGATGATTATTTAATGAGAACCAGGTGTGTACAGACCAGGTGGGAAGCCAAGCAGAGGCTGACCATGCAAGCAACAGACACAGGAAACAACAGAGCCCCTGGACCATGCAAGCGACAGACCCAGGAAATAACAGAGTTCCCTGGGAATCCCCATTTACGCAACATACTAACAGACTTTTCCCCATAAATTACACCTCATCTCAACACCGCAAGGTACAAGATGAGTTAAATGACATGCTTGTTAAGGGACAGTTGGCCTATTATTAATTTTTCTTTTACCAAAATGAGGCCCCATAGAGCTATGCCTTGAGGACCAATTTATTTTTTTTCAAAGTCTTTCCTGGACCCCATACATTTAAATAGCCATACTAAGAAACTTGTTATACTTCAAATATTAGAATCACAAAAAAGATTGCGTTTTAAAGTTAGGATTCTTCTTAAATGATTTCACAGACCCCTTAATTTGTTTTATGGGTCTGCAGATTGCCAAATGGGAAAGTGATTTAGAGTACAGATAATTAGTCAGTAAACAAGAACACAAAATAAACCAGCCTACCTGTCTTCATCACCATCTTTACGATCACCAAACAGCGGTAGAGACTTCTTTGCATCACTGATTAGATCTGGGTTCACCACTGTACTGTCATTAGGCAATCCCTGTCCCTCAGTAGTGTCCTTTCCTTCAATTTTTGCTTTAGCCAGAGAAAGAGAAATGTCACCTCTTTCTGCTATTTCTATATTCTTGTCTGCTTCTTCCACACTCTTGTCTGCTTCTTCTACATTTCTTTCTGCCTCTTCGACACTCTTGTCTGATTCTTCTGCATTCTTGTCTGCTTCTTCCACACTCTTGTCTACCTTTTCTACATTTTCTGCTACAATCTTGTCTGTTTCTTCTACATTCTTGTCTGCTTCTTCTGCATTCTTGTCTGTTTCTTCTACATTCTTGTCTGCTTCTTCTGCATTTTTGTCTGTTTCTTCTAAACTCTTGTCTGCCTTTTCTACATTTTCTGCTACAATCTTGTCTGTTTCTTCTACACTCTTGTCTGCCTCTTCTAAATTCTTGTCTGTTTCTTCTAAACTCTTATCTGATTCTTCTGCATTCTTGTCTACTTCTTCCACACTCTTGTCTGCCTTTTCTACATTTTCTGCTACAATCTTGTCTGTTTCTTCTACACTCCTGTCTGCTTCTTCTACATTCTTGTCTGCCTCTTCTACATTCTTGTCTGTTTCTTCTAAACTCTTATCTGCTTCTTCTGCATTCTTGTCTGCTTCTTCCACACTCTTGTCTGCTTCTTCTACATTTTCTGCTACACTCTTGTCTGCTTCTTCTACATTCTTGTCTGCTTCTTCTGCATTCCCTTCTACACCCCTGTCTTCTTTTTCTACATCTTCTTCTAAACTTGTGTGTGCTTTTTCTACATTTGTGTTTGTTTCTTCTACATTCTTGTCTGCTGTTCTGACATCAGACTGTATTTTCTCAACTTTCTTTAAAAGAACTTCTGGGAAATCCTCCCCTTCTGCTGATGAACTTACATCAGATTGTACTATTCCCAAATGACCTGAATGAATGGATGGCTTAAACTCCTCCTCCACCGATAATCCAACATCATAAATGACAATTGACTCAGCACTTATTTCTGGTTTAACATTATTCTTTGACTCAGCTTGGGATAGGGTCTCACTTGCTGACTTAGTTTCAATCAATTCAGTATTTGGTGTCTTAAGCTTGGTCCAAACATCTTCCTCTGACTCACTGCTGGACTTGATATCATTACTGCTTCTAGCGCTGAACATAATATTGTGTTCTGTCTCAGATTTCAGTACAATATTATTCTCTGCCTCAGATTCTAATAAGAAGTCATTTGTTGTATCAGTTGTGGATGCAACATCATTTGTTGTATCAGCTGTGGATGCAACAGCATTTGTTGTATCAGCTGTGGATGCAACATCATTTGTTGTGTCACTTGGAGACACATCATCATCAGTAACAATTTCAGATGTGACATCATTGTCTGCTTTGTCATTGTCTTCTGCCTCATTTGTGAGCACAACATTGTGTTCTGTCACAGGCTTTAATGACTCCTTCTCTGTCTCCGCTTCAGATAAAACATCATCATTATTATCCCCATCTCTTAGAGATGTATCATCATGTTCAGCCTGAATTTTGGATGTTACATCATTCTCTGCATCAGCTCTGGGTGTGATATAATTCTCTGTATCAACTTTGGATGTGATCTCATTTTCCTCATCAGTTTTGGGTGTGAAATTATTTTCTGCATCAACAGTGGATATAACATCAATTTTTGCATCAACTTTATATAGGACATCTTTATCTACATCAACTTTGGATGTGACATCATTTTCTGAATCAACATTAGGTGAGCTGTCATTTTTGGCATAAACACTGGATGAGACATCATTCTCTGTATCAACTATAGATATGACATTGTTCTCTGCTTTAGTTTTTAGAATGATATCTTTCTCTGTCTCAGTTTTTGGACCGACATAATCCTCTTCCTTGGTTTGAGATACAACATTACTTTCTGCCTCAGTTGTGGATACAACATTGCTCTCTGTCTCAGTTATGGATACAACATTGCTCTCTGTCTCAGTTGTGGATACAACATTGCTCTCTGTCTCAGTTTTGGATACAACACCGCTCTCTGTCTCAGTTATGGATACAACATCCTCAGTCTCAGCTTTGGGTTTGAAAAAGTCCTCTTTCTTGCTATTAGATACAACACCACTCTCTGTCTTGCCTGTTATTTCCTCGTTATTTAACCCAGCTTTGGGTGTGACTTCATTCTCCACCTCAACTTTTGATAGCACAAAATTTTCTTTTATATTGTTTGCCAAATGAGAATTTTCTGCTGCATTTTTTATTAAGACCCCATTGTCTACTTCCGTTTCAGATGTGAGACAATTCTCAGTCTCAGGTTCAGATGTAACATCATTTTCTATGTCAGTTTTGGACATGACATCTCTCTTGACATCATTTTCCAGTATCACTTGACTTTCTTCCACAGTAGCTGCATCAGTTGTGGATACACCATAAGGCTCCAGTGCAGTTTTGTAAAAGCCAATCTCTGTTTCAGTTGTCTTTGTGTCATAAGTATCTATCTCATCCTCTGCCTCAGGTCTGACATCCTCTTCTGTCTGAGATTTGACATCATTCCCTGAAAGAACACTGGATGTCACATCATCTGCTGCCTCAGTATTGGAATCACTTTCTGAAAGAAGTTTGGATGTCACATCATCTACTGCCTCAGTTTTTGAATCATTTTCTGAAAGAACTCTGGATTTCACATCATCTGCTGCCTCAGTTTTGGAATCATTATCTGAAAGAACTCTGATTGTCACATCGTCTGCTGCCTCAGTTTTGGAACCATTTTCTGAAAGAACTCTATTTGTCACATCGTCTGCTGCCTCAGTATTGGAATCACTTTCTGAAAGAATTCTGGATGTCACATCGTCTGCTGCCTCAGTACTGGAATCACTATCTGAAAGAATTCTGGATGTCACATCATCTACTGCCTCAGTTTTGGAATCATTTTCTGACAGAAGTTTGGATGTAATTTCATCCTCTGCCTTAGTTTTGGCATCATTCTCTAAGTGTATAGATATGACATCATTTTCTGACTGAGGTGTGAATGTGGTTCCATTCTCTGTCACACTTTTGACTGCAATAACATCTGTAAGAATGTCTGAGTAGGGATTTTCTGACATATTTGCTGGAGCAAAAGTTAGCACATCTGTCTGGATGGCTGCTGGTATCAATGTTTGTAGATTTATTGAATCAGCTGTCAGAGTTGGTGATAATGAAGACAACACAGGTGACTCAGGTATTTGGACACTGGCTTTTGAAGGCTCTACTGACTCTGCTGACTCTGGTATTTGGACACTGGCTTTTGAAGGCTCTACTGACTCTGCTAACTCTGGTATTTGGACACTGGCTTTTGAAGGCTCTCCTGACTCTGTTAACTCAGGTGTTTGGACACTGGCATATGAAGGCTCTACTGACTGAGAAAATTCTGTTTGACTTCTGTGAAATGTTGCTCCCTCTGCCTGGACACTGTCATACACTGGCTCAGCAGCCTGGGGAACCACTGGACCAACACTATGAACTCTAGTAGAAAATGGCTGTTGAAAAAAATTATAGCAGATTAAGTTTGAGGTTTGATCAACATCATGGCACACGGGTAGTAACCCATAAGCGATCCGTTCTTCTTCTAACTCAATTCTGTGTCCGAAGAAGCTCAGCACAGTGCACAGGCTTGGTAGCACGGGCAAGGATCCTGAAATATTTTGGGTAGATTTTCAACTCAAAATTTTGCCCGTGCAGCGCCGTTAGGCTTCTCTTTTCAATTTATAACAGCCAAAGGATTTTTTACGTGTGCAGCAATGCACACAGTCGTCCGATCTCACTACCCAGAGACCAGGGGGAATTACTAGAAGTCCGTTCCATGTGAACAAATCCCAGCCCTTACCATGGACTGAACCTGGAACCTCTAGCACTCGAGGCGGACACCATGCCTTGAGACAATGCAGCCCCTTTTAGCAGATTATTTAATACAAACAGTATGTGTACAATAGCTGAAAACACTGGTTATTCAAAACAATATAGCAACAGGAAAGTTGGAGGGGATGAGCGGCAGAGGGGGCAAGAGAGATGTTGCTGGACAGCTTGGCATCATGATACAGACAAACATCTGTATCAGAAATGGATAACCAGAATAATACACAGCCTGCACCATATGAACAAAAAACTGTTTTTAAAAAAAAAAGCATTATTCTTTTTGTGCGCAAAACACCTTTGTAATCTTAGCTCACCTCTGAGATGTGCTTTTACAGATGAATGCTGACAATTTCTTGGACGGTGAGAAACAGTAACCCAGATGTGGTTTTACAGACGAATGCTCACAATTTATTGGACAGTGAAAATAAGTAACCTAGATGTTTTTAACAAAGGCTAGGGCCCAAAGACAATTTATGACAAAACATCAGAAGGAGACAGTCATCATTTTGTTTGGTCACATTTTAAGAGAATAGCAAATTGAAACATATTGTGACTACTAGAAATATTTGTGGAAAGAGAGACAAAGGAATATTTGTGTAAAGACAAAGGAATATTTGTGTAAAAAGAGACAAAGGAATGTTTGTGTAAAGAGAGACAAAGGAATATTTGTGTAAAGAGAGACAAAGGAATATGTGTGTAAAGAGAGACAAAGGAATATTTGTGTAAAGAGAGACAAAGGAAGGCAATATGAGAAGATTCTTGATGTCCTTTTTTGGTAGCATGGAAGGGCATCAGCACAAAAGCTGATGAATGCTGTCAGAGACTGCATGTTGTGGAGAGGCATGATCACCTATGCCAGTCTGCAAGGCACTCTGTGATTCTTAGCTCAAGTTTTACCAAAGAAATCACCTTGTTGATGGGTTAATTATTTCTTTTTCTGATTTGTATCCACCACTGAGGATTAGGCTCCCATACCAATTCATGTCGTACGAAAATTTTCCACCTCCTGAAGCTTCTTCAATAATCTCTCCTTGTTAGTCAATCTATAATTCTCTTTCTCCATGAGTGTTTTAGGTCTTCCTCTATTTCTTTTGCAATGTGGGTTCCAGTGAATGAGTATCACATTTATATCATAATCAGGTTTTATGAACCCTCTTGCCATGGAATCCCTTTGGCAAACAAATTTTAAAAAAAACAATTCATATGCACGTGCGCGTGCGTTCATGCGTGCGTGCGTGTGTGTGTGTATGTGTGGGTGTGGTGGGGGGGGGGGGGGTGGGGGGTAATAAATGAAGAAGAGTAATGAATAAAAAAACAATCAGATTGGAAAAATAATAAACAACTACCGCCCCTAATGGTTAAAAGTAAATAGCGAATATGGGCAAGTTTACTTTCCTACAATTTTTCCACAGTAGTGGCCATGCTACCTGCTATTTGAGACTTCCACATGGGATTTTTAATATGCATATTTTGTGCAAGAGGCCTCCGGTTGTTGTTTAGAAATGTAGGCATAATTTAAGCACATTCCAGCACTTGTAATAAATATTGTTACTTACTGTCGATGATGTTTATCAATGATGTTCATTGTTACCTGTCAAAAGATGTATTAATCAAATGACATATGAAAGGTGTGAGGTCAGAAGGGCAGAATGTCAGACAGACCTGTGTGCCCACTTCTTAACCTTTTGAAAATAACGTTTTTTAATTGGTTCATTCATTTGTGCCTTTTTCCAAGAAAACTTTACTACTCCAGAGACTTAAAGGCAATGTGATATCACTCAGAAACTAATGTTTCTCTAAACATTGCCAGCAAAGTGCTGGGACACAACTCCAGTAGCTTCTGAGCTGGAAACAGACACCACAATCTCTCAGCCATGCCTCCTCTGTATCGTACATCTCACTGTTATTTAGATGTAAATCAGTCTTATTTGGCCTTTCCTCATCTTTCTCTCCTTCCCACTCTAATTCTTTTTTCTCTCCTACGTTCTTTTTGACAAGCAATACATACATACACACAATCATTCATTCTTTATTTATAACACGAACATTTCACAACAACAGTTGAAGTCCCTACCACAGTAGCAACAGCAGCTGATGCTAAAGAGGACACATCAGAGTTCCGAAGTGTAGACTCTCTCAGGACCATCTCTGACTGAAGATTCTGTACTTGCTGTTGTAACTGTTGTATCTTTAGCTGCTGACGCAGTCGAAGTTTTCTAGCCTTTTCTACAACTTCCTCTCTCTTCTCTTTCTCTGCCTCTTTCTCTTTCTCTAGTTGTTCAAACTTCCTCTCGTAGTTTTCTGTTATTGATGCATTTTGTTTGCGATGGTTATCATACTGAAAAAATAACATTGGTATTCGTAATTAATTTGCAATGGAAATAATAATAATAATATTAATAATAACAACAACAACAATAAGAGACAATACTAGTAAAAACAAAATAAAATATAATTTTAATTTTTTTTCAATTCCAAAGAATTTCACAGTCCATTCTACATCTTGTTTTGCCCTTTATCCCACAATGCAGTATAACCCTTTCAATCCCGGCAGACCATAGCTGATGTCTGACTAAAGCAATAATAATGATAACAAAAACATGGGTACACTGCATCCATAGGGTCCAAATACACAGCACATTGTGGGAGGCTTATACTGTTATGCCTAACTTAACTTCAGATGTATAAATATATAAAACATGTTGACTTAAGCATATCAGTAAAATCCAGTAACACATTCTGCATTGTCTGTGACCCAAAGAAGCTGATATTAACTCACCCCAAATTTTTACTTTTTTTATAGTTGGTTCCTTTCTGCAGCTCAAGTTCTTTAAGGGGATGATGTAATTAAATCAAAAACCAACCCTACCCTTTATTCACCTCATGGCATTCATGATAGGGTGCAACATTATTCAAGGATCCTTTGAATTATGTTGTTAATGTGTGTTGTTGGATATTAATGGTGTTAATATGGTGCTGCTGGATGGCATTAAAGGTGTTAATGTGATGATGATGGATGACATCTGTGGTGCCAATATGATGCTGGATATTAATGGTGATGCTGTTGGATGAAATTAATGCTGTGAATCTGATGTTAACATCTTCACAAATACTTCCATATTTTCAACACTTACCCAACAGACTATTTCAAGATTAAGGGATGGAAGTATATATATCTTATGTTGTAAGATTTCCACCATCTAAACAATACAGTTAATGAGCTGCAATACATTTGTTCAGTGATCAATTCATTCCATGTGTACACATTCATAAACTGTCATCTCGATAACACACTCGCATATTTGTCCTCATATATAGACAGTATGGCATACAATGCATAACACCAGAAAAAATGCTCTGGAAGCATATATACACCAAATACCAAGGCAGAAGCAGACAACAAATGTAAAAAGGCTTAGAGAAAGACAAATATACAAACAGACAAACAAAGAGATATATATATAGAGGCAAACACAAGGACTGAGAGATAACAAAGCAAACTGTGGCAACCTCCTGCTGCACTAGCTGTAGTTTTTGTTGAAGGAGCTGCTGCTGTTCCCTGATTTTTTCTTCTATTTCATTTTTTGTTCTTTCTTCTTCTTGTTTTTCCTGTTGTAACTCTTTGATTCTCCTTTCATGTCTTTCTTTCATTGCACTGGCCTGTGCACGCAGATGATCATACTGAAAACAAACATGAGAAAAAAATTGTATGCACAAGGTCTCCTCGACCAACAGTCAAGTTCTGTTCACACTAACAGGTATTCTTCTTCTTTTTCAGCATTCCGAGCACTTGAGGTTCATTGCTGCAGATATCACCCGCCTCCATTCATCTCTCTGGTTGACCTTCTCTTTCCAGCTGGTGACACCAAGTGTTGGCAGGTCTGTCTGAATATTATCTCTCCATCCTCTTCTTGGTCTGCCTTGTGGTCTATGGCCATTCATCTTCCTCGTGTATACAGTTTTTACTTCTCTGTCATTTGACATTCTTTCAATATGCCAGTGATCAGTGGTGATTTAAAAAGATTATGAATTTCGTTGTTGCTTCTCACTCTCCACATACCACTTTATTCTTACAAACTGGTTATAAAAAATTGAGCACAAAACACAAAAATTCAATCTACATACATTTAATTAGGCCTTTCTTCTGAGTTCAATGCATCAGTTCTGGGATTTTTTTTTTTTTTTTACCCTATCAATGTACATATCTTTCTTTATTCACTATTTTTATTTACTACTTTTGTGGTCATAAGTGAAGATGCTCGTAAGTCAAGGAGAAGATCTAATATCATTAGTCTGGATTACACAATGTGGAGGTACGTCAGCATAAATCTAAAATATCACTAGAGAGTTACATTTGTGAAGAGATATGATGTTATGTTACCATTAAGATGTTTCAGAAATAGTTATAGCTAGCTTTTGTTTCCTAGAGTAATAATACTCATCGCAAAGTGTCTAAAAGGTGCCAGTATTCACCATAAAGTGTCTATTACAATAGCATTGAAAACACAATAATGCCCAAAAAAGATTCGGAAACTGCGTACAGTTGCGTAAGTTGCATACCCTTTACGGGACGTTGCAGAACCAACCCCAGCAATTTTTGGCTGTTGTGGTTTTTCTAGGCAAATTTTACATTCAGAAGTTTGCCACTGCGTAGTACCAGCAAAAAAAAACCTGGATTTAGCGTACTGGATGGCCTGTCCTCAAAAATATAAAACTTGGCATCTTAATCACCCTAGGGCCATGTATCAGACGCTGTACTAACAAGAATTGGCCAGCTTTTTATTTTTTATTATTTAGCTGCTAATGGTTCCTTCTTAAGTGCAGTTTAGTACTGTTACAGAAAATACCTCTTCATAAGCATAGTCGGAAAGTCAAACACCTCTCTCTTAAGCTTTCATTATCTAGGTATATATATTTTCTTTTGCCTTTTCTATTCCAGTGGAATATAGGCCTGCATGTTTATCCCCTCCAGGCTGCTACCTGAAAAGTATGACACCCTGAGATCAGAAGATCTCCATTTGGCTGGCAGACCAACAGGACCTCAAGGTTTGACACCGTGGGACTAAATAATCTCAGTGATGATGGCAGACCAATATAGGAAGGCCTGATACCATGTTCAACCTCCAAGGCAGTTATAATTGAGGCTCCCAAAACAGGCACACAGCCCAGTGCTACCTGGCACACAGCCCAGTGCAACCTGCGGTCCTATGTTAGTGATAACAGGCCTTTTTTAAATGTTAATTTTTTTTTTAAATAAGGTTTCCTCTCCAGGATTGTAGGATTTACATCTCATGGATGAGAATCAAACAGCTACAAATCTTGGAAACCCTGTTCAACTGCACAGCCATATAGCACAATTAAACAGGGTACCAAATACTTTGGTCATATCAAACACCACACTGGCTTTATAATTAACAGCAATAAAAGGTAAAGTCGGGAGTTGTGAAGCAGCCTCACTGCACACAGTTATAAACCATAAGTGCTCTGCCACCAGTAAAGACAGCTGATAAGAAAATGTCTGCCTGTGTCACCGTCCACAGGCAACTCCATAGCTACAGCAATGCTCCTCCATTTATCCCAGAGTGTTAACTCAGGTACCCATTACCTAAAGGCTAAGTGAACGCTGGGAACTGCCCGGTTTCGAACACCGGCGTGAGCTGCAGCGAGTAGCAGCTGGATTGAAAGCCAGTCTCCTATCTACTGCACTAACACGGCCCTGGAATTCTGTTAACTGTTAGAATTCACAGCAATAGAAAGCATGATTCCTGGCAGGAGAGGCTGCAGTCAATTAATATAAACAATTACACTCTGTCAGTGCCAGGCAAACCATCCTACCTTTACATGTTAATATTTACATTTTAGACTTCTCGGTCCTTTATTAATATCCTTCCCCAAACAGGGGAAATCTACAGGTCACGAGACAGACTAATATTTCTGGGGGTGGTAGATAGGCTGCATGCAGTTGTCGGACCTAGGCTGCATGCAGTCGTGGGACCTAGGCTGCATGCAGTCGTGAGACCTAGGCTGCATGCAGTCGTGGGACCTAGGCTGCACTCTCTCATGGGATGTAGGTGGATTGGGGTTAGGGCCAGTTCTAGATGTTTTAGAGTTGTTAAAAGCATCAAAAAGCTGGGAAACCCAGTCTTACCGCCCTCTAAAACGTTGGACTGTCCTGTGATGTCATCTGGGGTAGGATATTAATAAAGAACCTACTTCTCCTAACTTCTTATTCATGGGCAGTTGGCTAATTAGTTAAAATTATGTAGAAGTGGAAGAGATGTGGTTTTATAGGCCAATGATAAAAAGAGTAATGAAGATGTTTTGAAAGAAAGAAACTGACTCACGATGAGAAATGATTGCCCATGTAAGAAGGAGACAATCTAAATTCTTTGGTCATGTTATAAAAGGGAGAAAACTGGAGTCAAGAGTAGGAAAGTTGGAGGGGAAAAGAGGCAGAGGAAGACAGAGAAAAGATGCATGAAAAATCATTTGTGTCAGAACTGACTGAAAGTACATGAGACAGAAGGCTGTGGATAGATATGCTTACCAACACCGGGTATGGACTTTAAAAAGAAGAACTTATTACTCCTCTAACTGGTACATTTACTCTCCTAATCCAATGTTTTCTGTAACTCATTTTGCCCTAGAGTGTTATTATTCAAACCTATTTAAACCCAGACATTTCTTTCTTTAAGTCTCATGTGTTTAGGATATCATTAACTCAAGTATATATCATGAGACCCAGAGGTCAACCATGCAGAATATGGACCACAAAAATATCAGAGACATTGAAAAGTACTAGATATGAAGTGAACAAAAGGGCCCGTTCTAGATCTCTCTTCCTACCCTGACACTGTGAAGCATTCCAGGAGTAGAGAAAGGAAAGAAGTAACAACTTCTGGGGCTAAAAGAGTTAGATACCCCAGGACAGAAACACCCATGAGATGGGAGGATGTTAAAAGTGTGCCTGTCCAGCAGGCCATGAGACAGCAATGTTCTACAAAAGACCTGCTGCACAAGGAAACTGATATCAGCAACAACAACAACAAAAAAGAATTTCAAAAAATTAAATTAAAAAAAAAACAAAAACAAGAAGTTAAAAAGTGACCTTATTTTTTGATAAACTTGTTAGAAAAAATTAATAAAAGATTACCTTGTCCTTCCATAGTTTCATCTCTGCTAATTCATCCTTCAACTGAGTGATTTCCTTTTCTGCATGAGATCCTGAAGATCGAATTGAAGCCAGCTGAAAATGTTATATGATGATGTTAGGAATCATAAATAATATAAAAATTGAACAAAACAAAATTAACTGGTAACATCTCTAATCAACTGCCACCTTCATATTAAAGACCAGCTGATGGATCTGCAAACATGTGGCCAAAAAGGTGCAGTCTAAACAAATCTTTATAATCCCACTGCCAATGTTATCTTCCTTTTCTGATGCCTTCTGTTCTCTTCTATGTTTTTCTACTATTTCTGGCCCTGCGTGGTGGATAGAGGAGCTGTCTGTTGTTAGTCATGGTGAGTTGTTTGCTTCTGACAGTAAATAGTCATAGTTTTTCCCCCTACATTTAGAATTAAAATATGTCGTTCCGTCATGCAACTACTGAGCTGAATAAATGGCATGACACTGTGAGCTGCTGATTTTTTTTTTGTGGTAGTGCTTTCTGACTGTGCCCAACACAGTCTGTATTTTTAACTGCAAATCCAGAAAATGTTGTGTTGCCCACTGCGACAAAAGTGGTGGTACCTTATGTGATTAATTGCATGTGCAACTAATTATCTGTTGGAACTGCCCCTTCTGTCAATGAGGAACTGCATTTCTAGTGCTGAACCAGGACTGTCTGTGTTGGCACTTCTAAAGGTGCCTTATGCATTTAATGTGTGTGCATGCTATTGGTTCTACTGAGTCTACAGTCTGTGTCAATTATTTCACAAGGGACAGTGATAGGCATTCTGTGTGGATTTTGCTGGTACATAAAAGGTGTGACCCGTTTGCTGAATGTTGAATTAAGAATTGACATCACAGCACTCAGGACACTCCCATAAGTGCTCTGTCCCTATCTTCAACAGTAAATAAAGAGTTGCAATTCCAATGGCACTAGTAGCCATCTGATTGTATATCCATCTCATCCTTTCCCTGAGTGTTGAGCATTGGCCACATTCCATGGTAACTCCTCTCAGGGCCATTCTCCTCAGACCGTAATAAACTATCTGCACATCTGCACTGTTCACTCGTTCCCAAAGGGCCTTCACAATATCTAGCTTGTCATATATCCCTTCACCACTAAGTGGTTCAGAACTGGCCAGTCTATCTGCCTGCTCATTTCCCAACACACGGGCATTACCTGGAAAAAATATCAAAATTATACTAACTACCCAGGACCTCAGAAGTGATGCTTGCCACTCTGCATGAAGCATGCATGTCTTCACCTTTCTCAACATGCTCTGTGAGTCAGTTACAATTACGGCATGTGTGTACAGCTGATTCTCAAGCCAGCGTAAGGCAGCAGAGACTGCCTCCACCTCTATTCTCAAACTAGACACACGTTTTCTATGATGTTAGAATTATCATTACCTTATTATCTGTCTATTACTTTTCCCAACAGCATAGTTTTTTGGTACGATAGAATGCTAAAATCTCAACTATAATGCGTACAGGAGTTTATTACACAAGCTTTACTTTTAGTCAAATCTTAAAGCAAAATGTAATTCCACAAGCATGGCATACTGTCTTAACTCATAAATTTGGGTATCTATCTACCGGTAATAAAGCAGAAACACTATGACAGAGCAATTTATGTTCATAAATATGATCCAGATACTTAACAATGAGAAGTAACCTTCAGAATTTATATGCTCTAAACAAATCCAAGATACTCCATGTGCTAATTAAAATTATTATAAATATGCATACGGACACTCATATTGTTGATGTGTATTGTTTGATAAAGAGTCAAAAACATTTCAAATTAATTTTTTTTAAAGTTTATTTAAAACTGTTTGGGTAAAATCTATTTTTAAAAAAAACTATCTTTGTTTTCTTCTTCTTCAGCTTCCGGAGGCTCACTGCTGCTGCAGATATCACTCATCTCCATTCAACTTTGTGAGTGGCCTTCTCTTCCCTGTTGGTGACTCAAAGTGTTTGTAAGTCTACAGGTATATTATATCTCCACATTCTTTTTGGTGTGCCTTATTGTCTACTCCCATTCAACTCTTCTGTTTCTGTGGTTTTTGTCTCTCTGTTACCTGCTATTCTCTCCATATGCCACAACCATTGCAGTTTAATAGCTCTCAGTTTTCAGTAATTAGAAGGTGATTTGAACAGATTTAAACCTATTTAATTTAAAATACATTTATGTAAATATATCTGTCTAAAACCAATTTCTATACATTTATTTGACATCTATTTGCTCATGCACCAAATTTAAAATCTACTTCTTAAAATCTGCTAAGAGTTTAGTCTTAAGTCAGACATCCAAAGGTTTTGACCCAGTGAGCACAAAAAAATCACCTTTGTTTCCAAATCAGAAACTCTACGAACAAGCTCCTCCTTTTCATCCTTCAGATTTATCACTTGTCTCTTGTGCTGCTGATCAGCAGTCGCCAGCAGACGGTCACATTTTTTCTGCCACTCTCTAGACATGTCTTCTTCTGCCTTTGCCACCTGAAGAATCAACAATGCATTTTAGTTACTGTAAAAGCTGCTGTGACTGCCTCCACCTCCATTCTCAAACTAGATCTCATACACCAGACTTTGCTGCAGTAAGTGTCGTACATTCACTGAAATCCTACACACTTCTTCTGCATCTCAAAACATAGCCCTGTAAAAAATAGTAACAGGAAGGAAAAGGAGGAAGAGTAGAAGATAAGGAGGTCCAGGAAAAGAATTAGTAAAAGAAGATGTCATTCTCAACATGTAGGTAAGATATTAATTAAGGAAGACAAATTGCACGGAAAAATACTAAGTAGCAAGGAAGAGAATAAATCAGAGAGAATTAAAAAGAAAGCACCGAAAAAGAAATTATTATTTTTAAGCAAGTGTAGAAGGAAAGAAAATAACAAATGAGAAGAAAAAGTAAGGATTCAGCAGAAAAAGAGAGAAAAAATGAAAAGAAAACCAAGAAGAACCAAGGAGAATCATGTTCTAACAGAAAACATTAACCTTGGTGTGGATCTCTGCATCAACCAAACTACTCTGCCTCCGAAGTTTTCCCTGCAACTCTTCAGTGGCTTTCTGTGTGATAATAAAGATAGCATGATGATCAATCATCATACATATCATGAGTATTTCATAAATTATCAGCAATGAATCACAAATTCACTAGCAACATCCTGCTATGTGTGTGACACCAAAATCATATTAAACCACCAACGAGACACTGGCATTACCCATATAATTCTCTGCAAGTAGGTTCCATGGCCACATTTTGGGGGGAAAGGGTGTTTCTTTCAAAGTCAAGGTGTATCTGCCAGAGAGGTGAAGAACTAATAGTCTGCATACAAATAAGCTAGATCTGTAAAACTGATGTGCACACACAAAAAACACGAGTCTAGAGCAAGCCCAAATTCCAGAAGGAGATTTTATTGGTAATTTCACATAAATAAACAGAGGGGGGAAATCCTTGGTTAACATAAATTCTTGTAATCTATGGTGCTATTTCAATGGTTTGAGATTAATTCTGCCTGGATTTCAGCTGTGGATTTCAAGCTGTACGATAGACATGGCAAATGATGACACATTTTAGTGGTGCCTAGCTGGTTTTGTTCTTAGTACAACTGTTTCCATAGCTAGGCGCACATGCCATACGGAGGTAACAGGTTGGATCCTGGCACGGCAACTATAGCTATCATTTTTTATGTTGTCTAGTGTGTCCTTCTATCTTTCTACTTCTTTCTACGAGTGTCGATCAATACAATGTCTATTTGTTTATTACATATATAAAATGTCTACATCTTCAAGGGTTCCCCCTGTTTATTTATACAAATTTCAGAAGTAGATGAAGAACTAGAACTTTCTGCTCAAGTATACAGCTGGTGAAAGCTAAGAAAAAGAAGAATAATGGATGACCAACCAAAATTTGACAAAACTACTATTATTGGGTGACAGGTTTGCTATTATGCAAGTTTATTTAGCATAACTTGGTTTGACTAGTCCAACGCACCTTTACAATCTCCTCAGTGAAGCAAAGTGTTTTTGCAGAGAGGTTGTTGAAATAAATAAACATCCATTTTAAATTCAAAGACTACTTAACAACGATGGCTGAAGAAATAAACAGCAAAGCATAACCCCCCTGGCAGATCAGACATTGACGGAGCAGATTTTGGAACTTCTACAGCAGGCTTCCAAAGATAAGCAGCTGAAAAAAGGGGCCAATTAAGCCTACTAAGACGCTGAATCGAGGACAGGCAGAATTCATTGTTTTAACAGCAGATGCGGAGCCAATTGAAATTCTCTTACACCTGCCCTTGTTATGTGTGGATAAAAATGTACTGTATATTTTCGTACGATGAAAACAAGCTTTGGGAAGAGCTTTTGGTGTGTCATGTCCTGTAACTGCCTGCTCAGTCAAACAGAAGGAAGGGTCCCAGCTGAGAAACCAGATACAGTCAATTCAGCGAAACACTGAGCGCTTGCTTATTTAAATTGCCATTACAGAATGGATTTTTTTTTTCAACAGTTCTTATTGGACATTTTCTAATGTTTAATCCTTTCATAGAGCACTCGCTGATCCATCCATTATTCAGCACTGCATACATTTATAATAAACATTTGAAAATGTAAAAAAAAAAAAAAAAATGCTTTTTACAGGGTCAGGTAGCTGGCCTAGGATAGAACATAATGGAGAACTAGACTGCAAGAATAATGGCACAAAAATATTATGATGATAATGTCTGATAACATTATAAGTTACTGGTTAGATAAGTAACAAAATATAAAGACACAATGGTATCATTTTCATTCACTGGTCGAAGAAGAGACTGGGCTCTTTAAGAGCGAATAAACAGTGCATACATAAATTATAATTGTCTGAAGAGAATGAGGCAGCAAGGAGTGATCATGCAATCATGCTGCCGCTCAATACTCAGGGAAGGGGTGAGACAGACATACAATCAGACTGTTACTGGTGCTATTGAAATTGGAACTCTGTGCTTGCTGTTGAAGATGGAGATGGAGCATTCATGGCAATGCCCTAAGTGTTATGATGTCAGGGTTGACCAGCAACAAGAGTAAAGAAAGGGTAACAAGACACCGTGTTAGATTACTGGAGGAACTGGCAAGGTACCAAGTGGCCTTTTGGCAGGCCATAATGGTCAAGATGTTCATTTCCTTATTAATATCCTACCCCAGATGACATCACAGGACAGTTCAACATTTTAGAGGGTGGTAAGACTGGGTTTCCAGGCTTTCTGATACTTTTAATGACCCCAAAACATCTAGAACTGGCCCTAACCCCAACGCACTTATGTCCCACCAAAGAGTGCAGCCTAGGTCACATGACTGCATGCAGCTAGGTCCCACAACGACATGCAGCCTATCTACCACCCCCTGAAATATTAGACTGTCTCGTGACCTGTGGATTTCGCCTGTTTGTGGTAGGATATAAATAAAGCACCAGATGTTCTACAAAGCATCTCCTACATGACCTGCTTCTTCTTGTTTTGTTCTTACGCCATAACACATTGCAGAGAGGCATTAGACATAGTTTCATGTCTTTTGCTAGTTGCACAGCTTGTGTTAATGTCATATTGTGTTGTTTAGTGTCTCATTTACTCCCTCCACCCATCTCTGTCTTGGTGGCCTCTTGACTTGTAACCTGCTGTTCTCATGTAGTATGCTCTAGCTGCTGGGCGCTGATGAGTGAATGTTGAATTAAGAATCCACATCACAGCATTCGGGACACTCCCATAGGTGCTTAGTCCCCATCTTCAGCAGCAAGCGAAGAGTTCCAGTTCCAATGGTACCAGTAAACGTCTGATTGTATATCCATCTCATCCTTGCCCTGAGTGGTCAGCGTCGGCCAGATCCCCTGGTAACTTCTCGCAGCACCATTCTCCTTAGACCTTTATGATCTATCTGCGTCTCCGCACTGTTCATTCACTCCCAAAGGGCCCTCACAATGTCTAACTTGTCATACATCAATACACCACCAAGTGATGATGTGATCACCGACACAGTCATCAAGAACGGTATGTTAACTATCATAGGAATACTTAACAACTGTCAGATAACAATTTTTTTATTAAATTACTTACTTCAAAACTGCGTTTGGCCTCCTCCAAATCCTTTTCCATTTTCTGTCGATCTTCTGCTGCTTTTCTTTGTCTCTCAGCTAAATTCTTTAATAATAACACATTATATGCAAGTTTCAAGATTATATAATATATTGTCACCAAGTGTGGATCATAATCTATTATGTATGTGTTTATGTACATAACATGTGTGTGTGTTAGCTTGCATGTCTGTGTGTGTTTGTATGTGTGAGCGTGCGATGATTTCTGATGATATATAAGTAAAGATCCCTTTTTACGTCTTAGGCACACTGGGCATATGGAAAGAGCCTCCCATATTTTTACAGACCAATCGGCACTAGGTGGGTAATGTGGTCAGCATTACGCCAGCCGTCTTTACTTCCCCAGGAAAGCCATCCTGGTACCCACTTTAGGGCGGGTCGACCTGCGACGCCCCGTACCATGATAAAAACTCACGGAGCCAGCAGTGGGTTTCGATCAGGGTACATTAGAATTACTGGTCGGACTTGCAACGTCTAAGCCCCAGACACCGCCAATAAATGATGATAATTAAATAAAGGACTATAATATTTCAACAAATGTAATGATGATGATAATGATCATGATGGTGGTGCTAATGGTAGAGTGGACTTGATGATGACGATTGTATCAGTAACAATATTAAACTTGATGGTGAAGTAGCTGAAGATGATGGCAATAATTAAAATGATGACATAGAAAGCCTATACTTCAATGAAGGACAAAGGGCACATAAAGAATGCAGAAGAAGAAACTTAATGATTACAACAGTTATTACAAGATATAAGAAAAAGATTAAATTTGAACAGTCTCCATAAATGTAATTAGACAAAATAATAACAGACAAGAGGAAGAACAAGAACAGTCTCTATAAATGTAATTAGACAAAATAAGAATAGACAATAGGAAGAACAAAAATAAAATTACAAGATATAAGAAGTCAAGATTTAAATTATCCAACCGACACTCACTTTCTCAAGCAAACTTTTGGAAGCTCTAATTTCTGCCAGTTCATCATGATGATTTGCCAGTTTGGCTTCCAAAGATTTTCTGATCTGCTTTTCATCTCGTAGTGTGGCATTCAGATGATTAATTCTCTGGTCATTTTCTGTCAACAAATGTATTAATATATGGCCTGTATAGCTATGCATAAAAAATACAACCTAACATCAGGCGTTTCCTTTTCTCCAGACACCAAAAGAAAGATGCTAATTTCTCCATTTACTCTTCATTAATATCATAAGTCGTATCAGTCTCTCTTCACAGTTTGCAGCAATGAAATAAATGGTCTGTAGTTAAGACAGATGATTTTATAATGATATTGAACAAAAAAAAATTATAATTTCTTTGCTGTACCTTTTCTACCCTCAAATGTATAAGTAAAGTAAAGGTCCCTTTATGTGCCAGTAGTGTACCGAGCATATGAGCCTTGGCTCATACTTTTATACACCAATCGGTCCTTAATTGGTGACATGTTCAACATCATATCAGCTGTCTTTACTTCTTATGTCTTTATTTGGTACTCATTTAATGCTGGGTCAACCTAGCAGCCAAGACCATGCTTGAAACAAATCCAACTCTATGTGGATTCGAACTGACAATCTTTGGATCTTCAGGCAAGCTCCTAGCCTGCACCACACTCTGGCTCCTCTTAAATGTATAAAGAAGTCGTAAACTGTAAGTCTCTTTTGAAAATTATCAGCAATGAGACAGCTGGTCTGTTGGAATGAAATGCAGTATTTTAATGTATGTCAGTTTGTATGTCAGAACTATTTTTTGGCCAACACTATGCTATCAATGCCAAACGTGGAAACTTACATCCTCCAATGAACGTAAAATTGTGACAACAGAGATGAAATGCCTTAGAAGAGCTGCAGGAGTTTCAAGGAAAGACAGAATACGAAATCATGAAATCAGATGAATTCTAGGAATAAAGCCAGTCTTACAGGTCATCAAAGAACAACAAATGAAATGGTTTGGACACCTAACAAGAATGCCCTGGTACTATCCGCCACAGCGAGCCACATTAAAACGTTACAACGGGTATAGAGCGAGTGGAAGACCTGGGAAAAGGCATTAGGAACAGCATTACAGAAATGAACATCAGTCTTAATAGCGCTCTTGACAGAGCTCATCAATGAACATTACATCTCCCCCCGACACTTCGACGAGGTACAAGGTGGAAGAGAAGAAGAAGAAGAAGAAGTCTGTATAGAAGAGTTAAATTACTGACTGTTCATAAGGAGTGAATAAGATATTTCTACTGCCTCTACATTCGCTGGCTATGAACTCCTGCATAAAGTCATGGTTGTTCATCTTGGTCTGGACTTGGTCTTATTCCAGTACTAAAATTCTGCATGTACATCTGTTTTCCAGATCTGGCTTACTGTGTGTAGTCATTCGTTGCCTCTCAGAGCACTGTGATCTTAAAAGAAATGTTGATCCTGTCTACGTTGGCAGTGTCCTAGCAGGGATCCGTTTTCTAGAATGACCATGTAAGGTGTAGACAGGTCTCTACCAGTATCCATCCTGGTCCTGATGCACCAATGCATGCTGTGATGCGCCTCTGTTCTCCAAATATGAGACTTCTTCTTCTTTAGGTCCATACTGTGTGGTGTTGGTAGTCATGTCTATCCACAACCTTCTGTCTCGTGTACTTTTGATCAACTCTGACACAGATGATCCTCAATGCCATGATGTCAAACTGTCCAGCATCTTTTCTCTTGGTGTCCCTCTGTCTCTCTTACCCTCCACTTTTCTAGTGTCACGATGTACTCCAGTTTTCTCCTTCTCGTCACATGAACAAAGAATGTAGATTGTCGCTTTCTGATTTGGCAGTCAGTCTCTTCGTGAGTCAGTTTCTTTCATAACATCCTTGTTACTCTATTTATCTGTCCAAGGTATTCTCATCATCCATCTATAAAACCAAACCTCCCCAGCTTCCAAATAATTTTTCACTAATTTACTAACTGTCCATAATTCACACCCGTATATCAGTATAGAATTTATAAAGCTTTTAAGAATTCTCTTTCTCGTCTCAACTGACAAAGAAAGATAGCATAAAACATTCTTTATTTTAAAAAATGTTGCCTTCACTTGAGCTATTCGACATTTAACTACCTTGATACACCTTGTTTAATGTTCTGAAAAGTTCCAACATGGTTGTCAATCCTTATGGCTACTTTTTGTTGCCAATATATGTTTTTAATTATTCTCAGATTTTTACCATCAATGTTTAAGGTTTCCAAAATTTTAATAATTTCTTCGTGTTTCACTTTATCAAATATTTTAGTGTAATTAATAAAGCAGAAACACAAATCTCTGTTCATTTCAATCATTCTTTCTGAAAGTTTTCTCAAGATAAATATGGCGTTGTTTGTGCCTTTATCTTCAACAAAACCACACTGCTCTTTTCCATTTTTTGATTTCACTTTGCACCTTATTCTTCTCAATAAAATTCTCATTAATATTTTAGTTACATGACTCAGTAAACTAACTGTTCGATGTTCTACACATTCCACTGCACCAGAAAATACGAAGCAAATGACCCCAAACAAAATTGTCTATATCTTCTTTGGTTCCATCTTCTTCCCTCTTACATTCTTCTACAACCTCCAGTCTCCTTACAATTCTTACCATCATATATTTTCTTCTCTTGAAGATCATACATTTTTTAACAATCTCCATGCTCCACACAATTCTTACCATCTCGCTGAAGCCGAAGTCTGTCCAGCTCTTCTCTAGTGGAAACACTCAACGAGGTGGACGTCTGCAGCTGTTGCTTCAGTTCCCCTTCACGTTTCCTCAGTTCTCCCAGCTCTAGCTGCAAAGTGCTCATCTGGGCTGTGGCTGTACTCAACTCTGTGGCCAGCTTAATCTGATGTTAACCACAAATACTGGTACAAAATTGGTAACAACTGACAAACACATGTGTACAGATAATAATGGCTTCTGAATTCACAATGAAAACCGTAAATATAGTACGAACGAAAATTAAAGATAGGCGTAACAGCCATGTGCACCTGTGGAAAGGTGCCCCAGACAGCAGAGTATGTACTCCAGGACTGCACCGAATTTCAAATTTAACACATTAAGACAAACTTTTTGACCAGAAAGAACAACAGTGGAACGTAAACTCTATGGATCACTGAATGAACCAACAACGACATTGAAATTTATACAAGAGACAAAATTGCTGATACAGACAACTTATTTCAGGTGAATGAAAAAAGAAAAAGAAGAAGAAGTACGAACGAACGAACAAACTTTAATTTCTAAGGGTCACAAATTGGGCATGCAGGCCCGTCTTACATGTGGCCCTTTCACCAGTCTTTCACACTGCAGCTGTATTTTATCAATAAGCATGTTATATTCATATGATAATTTGCATATTATGAATATCAAGAAAAAACGAAAAAGACATCTTGAGTATGCTCCTTTCCTTTTCTCTTCAGTGTCTAACATAATATAAAATCTGAAATATACTTATTGAGGTGGGGTGTTCATTTTTAATTATAGTCTGAATTCTATGCGTGTTGTCCTGCATAATGGTCATCAGTTGTCAGTGCAAAGAAATCAGTATTTTCATAACCACCTGTTCTGGACAAATCCTACGTTTTGATTCTATCCCAAATTTTTCAATAAATATTTTACTCTAAACAGTGCCAATCCTAACATATTCTTTAAAGCCAGGGTTAGCTAGTACCACCTCTCAGCTTGTAATTGATTATTTTATCTGCATTATGTATTTGCGTGCTCACTTTCTGCTTGTTCTCAAAATGCTTCGATTTAATAGAGGCACGAGAGCAATTACCAGGGAACTCTATTATTATTATTTGGTTTTTTTGGCTTCTTAAAGCAGTTTCGTATTTTATAATCATTTAACTAGTTAAAAACTTCTGACAGATGCTTGGCTTAAGTACCATGTGGAAGAGGTAATGTTAAACATCAGAAAGGGATTTAATGTTTAGAAGGTTATGGAATCAGCAGATATTTATGTATAAACTATACCAACAGCTAATTTTTTCAGTGACAGAGTACAGTCTGGGACTTATCACACAGCCATCTGT